CATTCAAATTACGCGAATGTCTTCCTTCTGCTGTGAAATCAGCCAAGAAAGTTCAAGATGAGCAACATGAGTTTGGAAACTATGATATGGTTGCTATTGAGATAGAAACATTAGATGTATGTCACCCTTTCTCTATCTTAATTGCAATTTTTTTCAACTCGTGCCAAGCAAATTTGATTAAATTCTGTTACTCATGACAGGTTGTGGGATCTGAGGAAAGCCCAAGTGAAGAAGAGTCAGATGTGGATAACTGCTAACAATCTAATAAATGAGTAGGTTTCAAGTTAACCTATACAACGTAACTGCCAGTTTTTAATGCTTCAACAATTCATATTCTGCATGATATCTTCATTCATATTGAAGCTAATAACTTTGCTAATTTGGGTGTTGTGACAATCAGGTGATCTTTGGTACAAGCTAGGGAACAGTTCAGTTGAGCGAAAGCAACAACTGGCTAGCTTCTCGATCTTGGTAATACTCTAAATTGATTAGCTTTTGGCACCGCATTTAAGCAACCAGTATGACCAGTTCTTCCTCATCACTAACATCATTCGTGGTGCATGTTTCATAACAACCATCGATAATAGAACGGATATGTTTTATGATTCTCAAGTGTTAAGGCTTATTAACAACAAACTTTGATTAATTTTATTAGGTGGATGGATGTCTTGTTCTGCTGGAAGTGGCTTCACTCCACACATCATCACTGTGGCGGTAGGAGAAGTACGTGATCTACTTTTTGGTCTCTATATTTCTCCGAACAAAATTTGATTAAGGTTTATTTAACTATATAATGAAAATCTAATGATTTTGGTATAGAAAATTGAAGAAGTCTCCTTTTATTTAATTGCCAGGAAACAACAAATTTACTTTCTCTCTATCATTAGTCTGCCAGAAAATACTCTGCTTAGATTTGCAAATTAAAATATGTTTTTTGATGCATTGGAGTTGATGATGAGTGTTAACAAGCTAGCTAGCTAAGAAGAAAGCATATATCTTCTCATTCCATGCAGTGGTTAGTTCTTGAATCATCAGGGATATGCAATGCAATAATACTTCAATCTTCTATCTATATTCATACTTAGTTTACTTGTTATTATATTGTATTTTTAGTATTCACAAACTTTCAAGACTTCTTAGATGCATGGTATTCTATTTAAAATTGTCAATTTGTCATCGTGGCTATCATTTGCTTCAATAAAAAATACTAGCTTTGGGCAACTGTCTACATGGTTGCACCCAAAAGATGTGGGTTGAACAGCATATGGCTTTTGCTGTGTTTTATTCAACTGTTATGGGCGTTTTTGATATTTGAAATGAGTTCTAGTTCACAGGATCTTCAGCTGCAAATATTGAATACATTGCAAACAAGGATTAGTTTATACGTGTTTAGAGGTGTCTCCTATAATTAGGACATCTTGTGATCTAACCAAAATATGCAACATCTTGGGCTGCAAATATTGAATACACAAGACACAGATTGCTGCAGATTTGGAGTGGGCCAAATTTGCAGAATGCTGCTCATTTTTTGTGCTGTGCTGGAAGATGAAAGAAAAAGGCTTCAAGTTGTTGGCTTGTTTTAGGCTGCTAGTAGCTAGGAATGAGTAATAGAATATGGTTAATTTTTTTTTTTTTTTACAACAAAGGGAGGGTGGAACCCAAGAAACAATAATAAATCAAGGGAGGGTGGAACCCAAGAAACAATAATAAATCAGTCACCACGGACAGAAAGAACCCCAACATAATTCCTTTGGACTAACTCCTCGAGCTTGGCATTCAAACAAAAAAAAAAACAAAAGAGCCAGCTCGTGATCTAAGCCATAATTTTTCGCTAACCAGTCTGCAACTTGATTCTGTTTTCGTAAAACGTAAATGCACTTAACATTTCAGTCCTTTTTTATCCATGCTTTACACTCAAAAATAATATTGTTAAAAGTTCCATCCCTTTAACGTCAAAAAGCTAGAGGGTCATTTATTTACTTTACCACATTGACAGAGTCGCTCTGAATAATAATATTGGAAAAGGCCATTTGCCAAGCCACCTTGAGACCAGTTAGAACTGCCCAAGGCTGCAAACTGTCTTCTAAACTTGAACTTTTTGAGACATAATGACACATATAATGTTGGTATGAAGTGTTAACCATTCCTTGTACCACAATGTTTTGCACTGTTGTGCAGAATCAAAGTGCGAGCTGTTAATGTAACTTGTTGATTTGTATTTTCTTACATATACATCACACAAATCTTGGGGATTTTGCTGGAAATTCACTTACGAGTACAATTAAGCTTGAGTTTTTGCAATTTTTGAAGATAAAAAATTGATCTTTTGCTTGGAATGTGTCAGAGAAATTGAAAATTGCTTAAAACTAGCTCGAGAAAGTTGGCACTTGTGGTTGATTAGCTTATCATCACTTAGCTTAACACCCTTTTGGTCCACTATTGATCTGAGATGACAAAACACACTAAAAACTACACATCATTCATATTAATTAAAGTCAACATATTGCTGGAAAGTCTTGCTTGGCCAACCATTTAATATGTTCTCCATCAACAAGAAGCTAACCTTATTCTTTGAATTTAAACATTTAATACTGTAATAATTTGAATTGGAATTAGTGCTACGACATGTTGCAGAAAGCTACTGAAACCTTAAACCAAAAAAAAATAAATAAAAATAAAAATTCCGTTTATGTTAAAAATCTTATGGGGAGAACCTTAACCAAAAAAAAAAAAAAAACCCTTAGTCTCTGTCTGGCTCGTCTCCAGCGGAGACGAAGGGCGTAGCGTCTCTACCTAGCAATGGAGACAGCCGGAGACGAAGGGGTTGGCTTTGTCTCTAGTTGTCTCCTTGGCCATGGAGACAGCCAGAGACGAATCAGTGGCCCTTTTTTTTTTAATAATTATTTTAATTAAAATTATTTAAAAAATATTTTTAAATTAAATAACCGCCACGTCAGCCAGTAAAACAAGTCATTTTAGATTGAATTGAATGTATTTGCGTAGTTTAGGGATCCAATTATATTTTTTTTAGTTTGATGGCCCAATTGCAATGTAGTGTATCGTTGAGTGGCATATTTGACCCTTATTCCTTGTATTTTTTTATATGCCACCAAACATCAAATAGCACAAAACACTAAGAAAATGTCAAGATCAATTGTTTACCAATACGTCAAAAGTTATAATAACTAATAGTGAATATAATGCACAACTTTATTTATTTCCTACTTGCATTAGTTGCATAGCAATCGAATTCATATTTAAATACACTATAATTTAAAATGTTTGATCCATAATTATATATTCAGATTCATCCGAAATTTAAAACTCACTTGAAATTTCGAGTGTTAATTTGAATAATCTGAATAACACCGACCTCTACCTACAATGTAACCCCTAATATAACATCTGTTTTTTTGGGGTCAATTCTTGAAAGTTAACATATCAAATTCATTTAGTCGAGTAATTGACTTGATAATAAGTCGATTTGAGCCAATCAGCTATATGAAATCTATGTTAATTTACTTTTTTATATAATTTTTTTGCTAGCTAGAGTTATAAGATAATTTTAATCCAATATGCACATTAAAATAATGGTGGTGAGCTTTTGGATCCAGCTGGCTTCAATAAACAAAAGCTAAAATAAAATAAAGAGCATACGGTCTTGTAGAGAATTGCCGGCTTATATATTTAATAGCATATAAATAAAGTTTTCATTATCGACCAAAATGTGCAGCATAAAATAAAATATTGAAAGTTGCAATTCAATTAAAAATGGTGCCTCCCAACTTGCAATTAAAATATTTCAATTATTGCTGGAGAAAAGTAATGTGCCGACAATTAATATATATATTATGCGTTATTAATTTATTTTATAAACACATAATTTATTAATTAAAGACATAATTTTTGAACCAAAATTCATAATACGAGGTGACTAACCTTAATGCATTGTATAACAATGGTACATTTATTCAACACAATAGTGATCCTTTAGTTCACTGCTGGAAACTAGTGAATTTCCGACCACTTTTTTGACCAATCAAAAAAATGGTCGTAAAAAGCGACATTTTCTCATTTTTTCGGCGAAGGTATGTACGGTTGGAAAGGTTGTCGGAATTTCCGACCACTCGATAATTTCTTTTCAATCCAATATCCAATTTCACTTTTATCTTCCCAACAACGAACCATTTGTCACTATATATTGCTATAATTATTAACTTAAAAAACTAAATTTATTAACAATACTGATAATGTGTTTAGTAGTGCAAATTGCAGAGGTCACCGGAATCTCCTACAAAAACTACTTATATTTACAATTTAAAAATGTCGACTTGCAATTAAAATATTACTCTCTTGCGATTATTGCACCTTAAAATATGGTGTTGTCATCATTATCAATTCTTAATCTTTGAATTTTAATACTACAAATATATAGAGTTTTCAATATGGACGGCCCTTAAAGCAAGCTGGCCCAACTTTTTTTTTTTTTTTTCCTTCTTGTTGTACACCTTAAAAGTGGCAAATTATGTTGTGCATCCGTATGCACCATGCATGGTGCATACGGATGCAAAAACGACGGCGTTTTATTAAAAACGCGCGTCTACTTCAAAAAAAAAAAATCAGTTTTGATTCCCAGCAACAATATTATATTGTGCATAATTTGAACTAATATTCTAAAATCTATGAACTAAAATTTCAGAATGAATGAACTAAAAATTCAGAATCAATGAACTAAAAATTCAGAATCTATAAACTAAAATTCCAGAATCTATGAATTAAAATTTCAGAATGAATGAACAATATAATGTTGTTGAGGGGAATCAAAGCAAAATAATAAGAGCAGGTACGAAGTAAAAAAGTATGTCCTCAAAACTCCAAAACTGTCATAGTGAACTGTGCAAATAAACAAATGATTTGAAGGTTTTCATGGGCTAAAAACAGCGTGTAAGCAATTAAAAACTTAACATTAACCAAAATATTATTATATTACCTAATTCCAGTTGATATCATTCATCTTCATCTTCCTTCTGCTAACCTTCACTCCAACAAACTCACAAAACAACTCTCCTTTCCATTACACCTACACAGAGAGAGAAGAATGGCTTGCGTGGTTGTAGTTTCTCTTATGAGGACACTTGAGCTTGAGTTCTTGCAACCTCTCCCTCGTCCATTTCTACAACAAAACCAACTCATCCCTTGCAACAAACACTTGGTCCTATCTCTACACAAGAAGCTTGGATCTCTGATGGAATTATTCGATGAGAGTAGAATGGATATTGGTGTTGAAGCAATCAAAGAGTTGGAAACAAAGCTGAGAGATGTAGCTTTCAGAGTGGAAGATGAAATCGAATTCCAAATTGCACATCTTCATGAAACAGAAGAGGAATTTGGAATTGGAACACCAGAAGCTGGGGATACTGATACTCCTTGTTTCAAACTTGGTCTTATTCTCCAACAAGGAATGGAAGACATTGATGCCGTCAAGGAAGAGTTGGTGAAAATCAAGAACGAGTACAAGTTGCAAGGAACCCCTGATGTTCTACCAATATCTGAAGCTGATTCTTCCCAACCTGCTTCAGAAATGGTCGGTAGAGACAAAGAGTTTGAGATTATAAAGGAGATGCTAATCAAACGTTCATCGCGTCTCAGAATTGTTTCAATTAGCGGTATGGGAGGCTTTGGTAAGACATGTTAGCAAGAAGAATTTATGAAGATAAGTCAATTGCCCATTTTGACGTGCGAGCCTGGGTTGTTGCATCACAGCATCATAACGTGAGACAGATGCTTCTTTGTCTTCTTAACTCATTGGTCTATACGAATAATAGCAGCAGTGATATTTTAGCAGAACGCAGCAGGAGTTGGGATGAGGGCAAAGTTTCCAACAAACTCCACAAGGCTTTATTCGGTCGAAGGTATGATCAAGAACACACGTCCAAAAGTTATAGCTATTATCACAATCCCCAGTCACTGGGTGCTAAACATCTCCTCCCGGCTAGCATTAACCAATTTTAAATGTTATTTTTAGGATACACTTACCACTCACGTCAAAGCTATAGCTAGTAGTGAAACACAACCTTATTTCTTTATAAATAGCCATTCTAGACATTGGGTATTGGACTTGACCCTACCAGCCTCAGCCCAACAATTTCTTAGCCATCACCGGGTTCTAGACTTGGTCTTTTTTCACCAGACAATAAGAATTGAAACAAATGCTTCTTGGTCTTCTTAATTCAAATGGCTATGTAAATAGCAGCCCTCGTGATGATGATCTAGCATTACGACTCTACCAAAGTATGAAGCATCAAAGGTACTTGGCTGTGATAGGAATCGTCTCTAATCTCATACGTAACAATGACTCATCACTAAGATTCTTTGTATTGATTAAATAATATATACAAACTCTGATCTATAACTCTATAAGTCTATCTCATAATCACTGCTAGAAATTATGGAATTTCCGAACACCTGAAAGTGATCTTAAATCAAGTCGAAAGCAAAAAGTGATCAGAAATAGCAACAAAGGTTTTTCCGAATATCAAAAGTGGTCGAAACAAGACTTTCGACTTGATTTAAGATCACTTTCAGGTGGTCGAAATTCCATAATTTTCAGCAGTGAATCTTTATCTACCCTAACACATAAATTTACACATACTGTAATAATAGGTACTTAATTGTGATTGATGATGTGTGGAGCATGAAGGCATGGGATACAATCAATAGATGCTTTCCAGATGATAAACATGGTAGTTGAGTATTATTGACTACTCGCTTTAAAAAGGTGGCTTGTTATGTTAGTTCCAACCGTGACTCCATTCATCAAATGCACTTCTTAGATCAAAGCGAGAGTTGGGATCTATTTTGTCAGAAGGCGGGCACATCACGCCTTGCTAACTTTGAGACTATTGCAAGACCAATTGTTGATAAGTGCAAAGGACTACCTTTGGCTGTTGTTATCGCAGCAAGTGTAGTTTCCAATTTCAACGTGGACCCAAGTGAGTGGGAGAATATTGCTATGACTAAAATTTCTGAAGCATGCTCAAGAATATTCTCATTGGATTACAATCTCTTGTCATATAACTTGAAAGCTTGTTTTTTATATTTGGGAGTTTTTCCGGAAGGTAAAGTGTTCTATATTAAAGATCTTGTAAGATTATGGGCCATTGAAGGACTTATAAAGGAGTTTGAGAACCAGAGCCTTGATGAAGTGGCTGAAAGTTGGGTACAAGAACTTTTGGATAGAAACTTGATTCTTGAAAGCATGCAAAGTTATTGTGGAAGAAAAATTAAGGCCTTTAAGATGCATGGTTTACAGCATGCATTTTGTATAAGACAAGCTCAAAAAGAGAATCTTCTACATGTGGTAGATGGAAATGGTTTCAATTTCTGTGTAAAAGGTTTCCGTTGGCTAAGCATCCAATCAACAGATTTTGATGACGACACTCGTACATTATTACATTCTGCTTCTTCTATTACATGTCGGTCCATTTTCTGTTTTTCGGAAGCAAAATCTTTACATTTGAAAAGTTTCAATCTATTGAGAGTATTCTACTTTAGTGATGCTAGCATGTGCAAGAAGATTGTGGATCTCGTCCATTTGAGATACTTACCTCAGGTAGTTAGAGATTTTAGAATCATAAAACTATTAAAGGCTTGGAATCTTCAAACACTTGATGATGGAAGGAACAACTTGAAGAAGTTCCGACAGCAACAGGATTCTCAAATTTCTTCCAAACTGAAGTTGAAGCCTTGTGATTGCACAATAGAATTCTTTCTAAGAAGTCCGTACCTTGAGGAGGTGGTAATTACAGGTGAAAGAAGATGTTGCAATGAGTGCATTGACACCCTTGTCTATTTACCCCAGCTTAGGGGACTGTATATTAATGGCAATGTATGGGATTATAGGACTCCACAAAGGATTTCAATTAATAACCAAATTGGTCGGTTGAAAGGGGTTGTGGAGTTGTCATTTAAGTGTATGAATTTTGAGTGGAAGGGAATTAATGTTCTTTGCCAGTTGCCTAGGCTAGAGGTGCTCAGGTTATTATTTTCCAGCATAGGCAAGGAGTGGGAATTACCAGAGGATGGTGCATTCATTAGCTTAATTTATTTTGAAATATTTTCAACTGATATCGAGCATTGGGAAGCTACTGCTGACCATTTCCCGATTCTTGAGCGCCTACTCCTTCGCAATTGCTTTCGGTTGAGAGAGATCCCATACAGCTTTGCAGAGATATGGACATTGAAGTCAATCGAATTAACACGATGCCTTCCTTCTGCGGTGAATTCAGCCAACCAAATCAAAGATGAGCAGTGTATCTATGGAAACGATATTCTGGTTGTCATTGAGAAGGAAACAATACAGGTCTCTCTCTATCCATTTCTCCTTCTCAATTGCTTTTTATTTCACTCTCAGCTCAACTCCTTTAATTTTTCTCTAATATAAATATAACTTCATGATATAGTTTCATTATATCCTAATTTGTTTTCATTCATTCATGACAGCTTAGTTCTGATGAAGATGATGCAGAGGAGAGCTAGAGCAAAGAAGATGCTAAAGCTGCTTATTAATTAATGAAACTTCATATATTATATTGTGTTTTAATTTGCCAATGACCTTGTGATCAAGTGGCATGAAATGAATCGATTCTTTCAAATTGGAGTCGCAGTACTCAAAAAAAATATTGTGTTTTAATTTAATACTTGGAAGCATAAATTAAAATAAACCAGTGCATATGCATTTGCCTATACTTTTTGTCTCTCTTATGATCTTATGGTTAAACACAAATTGTTTGTGCCATATTAGTAAGATTTATTTAGCCAGGAAATAAAGGTGTTCCGATAATTCTTTGTGCTAAGATTTTCGAGGAAACTTAGGAACATATATATGTAGTTGGTAGCTTTTTTGAAAACCATATGTAGTTGGTAGCTAGTTAAGCAAGAATGACTTATGAAATTATGCATCATATCATTGTGATCTTGTGCAGGACATCGCAATTCAACAAAGATAATGTCAAGTCATTTTTGCAACAAGTTAGGCCCCAAAGCTGTATGCATCCAAGTGCGAGCTGTTAATGTAACTTGTTGATTTTTATAACTTGTTGATTTTTAGGGAAAATTGTAAAAAATGTCCTTCTATAATATGCCAATTATCAATGTTATCCATGAATTATGAATGGTGTAAATATTGCCCCTCAATTATCAAAACGGTGCACATATAACCCCTCCCGTAACGGACCATTAGTGTACCCGTTAAATCGGGGTAAATATGTAATTTTGTTGTTTTTTCCTCTTTTTTTTTCCTTTGTTTTTTCCTTTTTCTTTCTCGGCCTCAACAAACAATAGTTCACGATGGAGGTGGACTCGATTGGTGGCGTCCAGTAGCGGCGGCGACGGATGAGCTCCGGCGAGACCCTCCCTCGATTCGAAGTACAAGCGATGGACAGCGGAAAAATGTCCAGTGACATTCTCTGTTTCCAGCGTGAACGGCAGCTACGGCAACACCAAGCTCGGACCTTGGTTCGTCTTCTTCCAGCATGAACAAGACGAGGCAGAGCGACAAAGGGAAAATATAAAAAAGAAAAAGGAAAAAACAACAAAATTACATATTTACCCCGACAACAGTGTACACTAACGGTCCATTACGGGAGGGGCTATATGTGCACCATTTTGATAATTGAGGGGCAACATTTACACCACTCATAATTCAAGAGTGACATTGATAATTGACATATTATAGATAGGCATTTTTTTTACAATTTTCCCTTGATTTTTATTTTCTTACACATACATCACATAAATCTTGGGGATGGATTTTGCTGAAAATTTACTTATGAAAACAATTGAGCTTAACCTCTTGCAATTCTGAAGATCAAAAACTGAAAGGAATGAAGAACAACAAAGGAAGGGTGGAACCCAAGAAACAAAAATAAATCAGTCACCACGGACAGAAAGAACCCCAACATAATCCCTATGGACTAACTCCTCGAGCTTGGCATTCAAAATCAAAAGAGTCAGCTCGTGATCTAAGCCATAATTTTTCGCTAACCAATCCGCAACCTGATTCTGTTTCCGTAAAACGTAAATGCACTTAACATTTCAATCCTTTTTGATCCACGCTTTACACTAAAAAATAATATTGTTGAAAGTTCCACCCCTTTAACGTTAAAAAGAGGGTCATTTATTTGCTTGACCACATTGACGGAGTCACTCTGAATAATAATATTGGAAAAAGGCCATTTGCCAAGCCACCTTGAGACCAGTTAGAAGTTAGAACTGCCCAAGGCTGCAAACTGTCTTCTAAACTTGAACTTTTTGAGACATAATGACACATATAATGTTGGTATGAAGTGTTAACCATTCCTTGTACCACAATGTTTTGCACTGTTGTGAAGAATCAAAGTGCGAGCTGTTAATGTAACTTGTTGATTTGTATTTTCTTACATATACATCACACAAATTTTGGAGATTTTTCTGGAAATTCACTTACGAGTACAATTAAGCTTGAGTTTTTGCAATTCTTGAAGATAAAAAAACTGATCTTTTGCTTGGAATTATTGCACCCAGTGTCAGAGAAATTGAAAATTGCTTAAAACTAGCTCGAGAAAGTTGACACTTGTGGTTGATTAGCATATCATCACTTAGCTTAACACCCTTTTTGGTCCACTATTGATCTGAGATGACAAAACACACTAAAAACTACACATCATTCATATTAATTAAAGTCAACATATTAGGGGGAGACAATTTTGGTAAACTTTAAATTATCGGCACTAGCCAATTCTCCCCCACCGCCCTCGGCGCACCCCGATTACCCCCAGCCCGCAACCCCGCAAAGGGATGCATCTCGATTGGTGTCGGTCTCTCCCGTGCCTTCAGGCAAAACATATGGACGTGGCCCATCATGCCACAAAACGAACAGTGTTTGTGTAACCGTTCATACCGAAAGGTTATCCGGCCAGCACACCGTCTTATCCCGCTTTACCAACTTCATGCCACGCCTTAACGGTTTGCCAACCGCAATAGACACCCAGACCCGATAGAACGTTAGCCATGGGGCTCCTGTAAACCTCTCATCATGCTTCACAAACGTGCCTATGAAGTTTCCAGCCTGTTCAAGCACCGTGTCCGACGTATACCCCATAGGCAAACCATGTAACTGAACCCACATATCAACCGAGCTCAATTCCATCTCCCCAGGCACGGCTTCAGCCACCACCTCCCTGCAGACCAAGGTATTATTCTCGAAACCCCAAGGACCCCCATCCAAGACATAATCAATGTCTGTCCTATGATAAAAGACAAACAAAAACAGCCCCGGTTGGATCTCCGTAACCTGTACACCTCTCACCGGTTGCCATACGGACGCCATGACCTGCTTCATGAATTCCAACTTGACCAACTTAGTTGTCAGAAAATGGCCGATGACCGCCCACGTCTCCTCGTCGTCGTCATGAAGCTCGCCAACACCCTCCCCCTCCGGCACAAACTCGTCGTGCTCGTCCTCCAAATCTAGGTCGCCCCACCTCTCCGTTAGGCGTTCAACCTCGTTGCCCGCCTCCGCCATACCTTACTGCTCACACTGCCTCGTCGCTGTCGCGACTCGCTCGAAAAAACACTACTAGAAATTATGAAATTTCCGACCATCTGAAATTGATCTTAAATAAGTCGAAAGTCTTGTTCCGACCACTTTTGGTATCCGGAAAAACCTTTGTTGCTATTTCCGACCACTTTTTAGTATCAACTTGATTTAAAATTACTTTCAGGTGGTCGGAAATTTCATAATTTCCAGTAGTGAAATGACGTGAACCGTCGTAGAAAGCACACCGGAAAGCGTCAAAAAACCCTAGGTTTACCCTAGAGAGAAAGCCGAAACCCTAGTCGTAGCTAGAGAGAGATAGAGGTTTTAGGTCGTAT